ATACGAATTGGATGTGTCGATCAACATAATGAATGTAAATGTTATTCGCGTAAAGTGTAACGTGATCGCGAACGAGTACTGCAACGGCAAAAACGCACACACGATACACGAATTTTCGCCGAGTGTGCCGTCGGGATATAAGATATCAGAAAGGCCTGCACAAGTTTTTTATCTGCCAATCATCGCAAGGAGCATTACCGATCTAATGGTACGCGTTGTCGACGAAAATGGGCGATTGCTCTATTTTCGAGGAGAAGAGATTATCGTCAAATTGCATATGTGACGATGACAGTGCGAGCGTAAGATGCTCGTGTTGAACGGAGCGAAGTGGATGGAACGTGCTCTCGTTTGTCGAAAAAGAACCTTTTGCGGTCATTGACTGCTTGCGACAAAACGAATCCGTCAAGAGCGCCACCGTGGATGTACGCATAGAATTTGATTGCAAGGAGAATGTGCTTGCAAATATAGCCTATAGAACGCAGGGAGATAACGCATTCTTTACAAGACTGGTAACGTCACCGCTCGACAACATTCGCTCATCCAGCTGCATCAGGAAGAAGAAGCTCAGCGTGTCGAACGTTAAATTTTTAAAATCTTTGGTGTTCACGGTATGCAATTTTCGAGATGACTGATATCCTAAACATCAAGGATGATCCAATCTTCGACGATCGTAAAGTTTGAGACTCACACGTACAATCCGTTTGCCAACACAACGTTTGGGTACAGCGAGATAAGAATACAGCAATAGGATTTATAGATGCCGTGCAAAAGCTTTTTATATGTTGAAGGAAAACTGACGAGGAACAGAGGTCCAGGATGCTACCGCGATATTGGCAAATAATTGCGTCCCGTTCATATTTGATGAAATTCGATATAAACTCAACAGTGTGGAGATTGATCGCAATAGAAACGTCGGAGTTACCAAAACCATTAAGAACTACGTATCGTTGACGTATGACAAATCTTTGATTGCGATGAATGCTGGATGGAACATTAAATCTGACACAGGGGAAGGACACTATAATTTTTGCGTACTGCTCAACATGCTGTTAAGCTTTTGCGAGGATTATAAACGCATGGTCGTTAACGCTCGCCACGAGTTGATTTTGATAAGTTCGTGCAACGACAATAATTGTCTGATTGGAGATCCGGCGATAGACCCAATGCTTGAATTATTCAAAATGCAGTGGCGAATGCCGCACGTATTATTGAGCGACATAAATAAGCTGATGCTACGAGCATTGGAAAGCGGTTGTTATCTGAACATGAGTTTTCGCTCGTGGAATTTGTACGAATATTCTCTGTTACAAAACACGACCAAACATTCATGGGCCATCAAAACGGCTGCTCAGCTCGAGAAGTCGCGATACGTTATCTTTGCTCTGCAGACCGGTCGAAAGAACAGCATATTTCAAGATGCAACTGTAATTTGAATAATGTGAAACTCTATCTAAATTCAGATTTTTATCCATACGATGATTTGAATTTGGATTTTGATAAAAAGAGATACGCCATTCTGTTTAATATGTACGTGCGTTTTCGTAAAACATATTACCGAATGCTTCAAAAAAACGCTGCTCAACGTGCTCTCGTTTGTCGAAAAAGAACTTTTTGTGGTCATTGACTGCTCGCGACAAAACGAATCCATCAAGAGCGCTATTGTGGATGTACGCGATAGAATTTGATTGCAAGGAGAATGTGTTTGTAAATACTATAGCCTATCGTTTCATCATACAGGATCGCGTGGTTCAGTACAATCCGTTAACCAATGTTGTGCGCAAAATAATCTAATAATAAGTACATTCTCCGACACGTTATAAAATATACGATTCATCGAAATCGATTATAGTCTCAAAAAATCGTTTGCTATGACCGTAGCAACGTTTATAGATCTGCAAGGATTTATCATTAGAAAGAAATTTATCATGAAGGAAGTGGCGGTGTTGAGAAAAGGAGCCATTCTCTTTTATCACATTTTTACATGTCCTAGGCCATGGAATTTCTTGACAAAATCCGAAAAGTATTGCACTTCATGGTTGAGTGCTTATCACTATGGATTGCAATGGGAAGACGGGATCCCGTACAGCATAGTGAAAAGCCTGATGGTTGTAATTGGTGCGGAAGAAAATGACGACAATAAGGCTCTCGTATACGTTAAAGGATGTGAAAAATACAAATGGTTAGTGGATATACTCGATTGCGATGATTTGATCATTGAGACCCTGGATCCTGATTACGAAGATATAGATTCTTTGAATAATCTAGATGTTACTAATACTATGTGTAAAACATGATAAGAATTGTGCGTTACAGAATGTATTTAAAATATACAATTAGTGGCAACGCCAAAAAGAAATGTATCAAGTTTAAAAAAATAATAAAATAAGATTTTTTTTAAAAATACGTTCTAAATTTTTTTTCCTTTTCCTTTCCTTGTTGTTAAAAATAATAGCTGTTCAGTAGTAGTAGTAATAGTATGATTTAATAAGTGTTGAATTAGTCGATAAGAAAGTGCGTTTGACCATTTGTATTACATTAATAAAAATATTATCATAATTAGCTACAATGTTATATATTACTTTTTCTTCTTTTATTAAATACTTCATTCTTTTATTAAATATTTTTATTAAATATTTATTTTACATTAATTATTCGTTTGTAGTAATGACTTGAAAAAAAAAACATTTAACATTCATTAAGATTAATTCAATATTAATTTCACATTAATTATTTAACAATCCGTACGCGGTACCGCTGCTAGTTGAACGCGAATTCTATTTCTCGTAAGTAAAAAATTATGTAAGATAGAATAAGTCACAACATTATGAGATTTCTAATAAAATGACATTTTGAAAACAAGTCTTCAAAATTAAGCCCCAATATGAAAATAAATAAAGTATTTTAATAATTTTATTCTAATTTTATTCTAATTTTTTTGCACATTAAACTGTTCTTTAAAATGTTAAAAACTAAAATCTTTATTTAATATTAAAAAGACGTTTATTGAACGTTAAAAAATATATTTTTGTATAATTATACATTACAAAACTTCACACGGTTACAGATGCATTGATATTAATATATATTAATTTTGCTTATATTAATTTTGATTCACACAAGGATCAATTCAATTTTTTTTTGTTAATTAAGAGAATATTTAGAGAGAGATATATGAGAGAGAATATGAAGGTGAAAACATAAATAAACACCACTATTTTATATATATAAAAACAAAATATTACTAGGAGCTGTAAAGTGTTACTAACACATGAGAATTAAAACTTATTCAGAATGTCCATATACACATGATTGAGACATTCAATATCTGATTGTAAATTTATATTATTTTTTTGTAGTTTAATAAATAACATTTTGGATGTTAAACGTTTATTTAAATATCTAGAATATTTAAATTCGTCCAATCAAATTCCTGATCGTGACGCAATCTATGATCTGTGATTATTGATTGGGCAATAGTGTTTCTATTTATGTGATTTCTTTTTTGGTTTTAAGTTTTCTGCCCGTTTGTCCCATATAGGTTGCGTCGTAATCTTTACATAAGATTTGGTACACTACATTTTTCTTTGATTCAATTGGAAGCACATCTTTGTGGACTTTAATTAATTTATTCATTTTGTTGAGACTATAAAAAACTAACTTAATATTTAAATCTTTTATTATATTTTTAAATTTTTTCGATATGTTCTGAACATATGGAATCGTAATCCAAGGGATTTTCCGTATCATCAGAATTTTTGTCATTATTTTATTTTAAAGTTTGTTTATAACAAAGAGATTTTAATCGCGTATTTATATTATCAAATATAAAGTCTAATGAGTCGTTATTGAATAGAGTTTCAATGACAAAAACAATATTCTCATTGTAAAATTTCAGATGTGACAAAAGGAAAGCTCTATCAATCATTCCAATGACAACACCTCTTTTCTATGAAATAGGATGTGAAGACATAAAATTTAAATATTTTCCTGAAAAAGTTGGTTTAACCAATCAAATTCCAGAATGTTGTCATCATTGATAATTGTAACGTCCAAAAAAGGACTTCTTAGAATTTTTTTTATTTTTCAGGTAAGTCCTCACAATTTCAGCTGAGTCCTCACAATTTCAGCTAATATTTTAAATAATAATTCTTAATAACTCATAGGCATCTGTTTATTCCATTGTAATCGTCATCGGTTTTGGACCGTAGTGAAGCATTTGAAAATATGCAGCTGAGTAGGGATACGCAGGAGGGTGGAAATTTTATTATGTTTCTTTTTCTTCGTTGATCTCGCTGAGGATGACTCCAAGAAGTGGTCGAAACATTCGAGTGTACAGCAAGTCAAAAATATAATTTATATATACAAAGAATTAATGATTATGCATTACGTACCGCACCGAAATCTCATTTGTCTAATTTTCTACACATTAAATGTTAATTTTTCAAAGTAAAATTTTGTTTAAAAACTGATTCACGGACAATCTGACCTGGAATTTTTGAAAAAATAAAAATTTTGCGAAATACATATATATGGAATATATATGGAACATTATCGAAATATGTAACAATATACAAATGAAATTTTTTAACCGACATTTGAATGTTCTTTTACGTAAATATTCGGAGTATTTTGGAGTATTTCTGGAATGTTTTTTTTTAGGATTTTATGAACATTTTATGAATATTTCAAGAATATTTAGCGTTTGCTGGATGTATTGTAAAGTGTAATTTTAAGATGTATCATCCTTTTTAAGTTAAATTCTGATTTTTTTTTTAATACTTGCACTTGTGCTTTTCCGTGACTTCACATCATTTATTACATAATTATAAAATAAAAACGCTATGCTCATATATAAAACATAATATTTTCATTTTAAATTTGTATCAAAAGAATAAACTAGGAACTAAAGATTACGAATAATAAATTATTTAATTATATCTAATTAAATTATATCTATATTCCCCCTTAATTAATTCTATATGTAATTGCCTTCTTGCGCGTGTGTATCCCTTCCATTTTCTCATTATTCGATGTCTATCGACCGACACAGTTGCTTGTGATAACGGTGGCGGCACTGTTCGACCAGCGCCCGTATGGAAAATGGCGGCCGCCTAACCGACAACGCACGATCTCCTGATGTGATTGTGAGCCGAGCGTGCACAAGAGGAGATTACGACGGAAAAGGGAGACTAACGACATTATACGAAAGTGACAACAATGGCAATGTCGAATCTCTACTCGAAGATCTCTACTAAGCCAATGAAGCGTTTTCAGGACAACGTCACGGTCAAACAAACCAATGCTTGGATGAACGGTGAGAGAAACAAAAATAGAGTGAAGAAAAAAAAAAGAAAAAACAGAGAGACTGCTTTCACTTGATGTGTGTGCGAATGAGTGAGAGTGTGTTGTTTATACTTTGCACCTGTTTCGTGAAGATAAAAATCTTGCTTATGATTATCAAAATCTATACTGAGATGTGCTGGAAATCCGTATTTATAAAGAAAATCCTACTATTTAATATAACAAAAGGGGCACTATGAGTCATAGGGTACCATAGGTCATCGACTGTTTAGGATAATCCAGAATGTTCAAATTGATGTAAATGATATACAATTACTTTATTGGCCATACTTCGTATCTAGAGTGATTACACTCCGTTGTTTTGGGACGCACGTGCCATTAATGATTTTTGTGGTGCAAAAGTAATTTTAAAATAATTTAGAAATGTTTTAATATTGTCTTTGTAATAAAAAATACACATATATTTAAGGTCAAGTGCAAATTTCTATACATCTTTTCTTGCACCTTGTTACATTACAAATAATTATCTATCACTTAAATTTTTGGATATATATTTTCCGTTTCATTATTTTCCATAGTATTCAGGGCATCATGGGTCACTTAAAAAACAAGGTAATATAAACTAATATATGCGCTAGAATGGCAGCTTATAAGTCTAAGCAATTAATCTTATTTTACCTATAAGTTTTATATTCTATATATATGTATATATAGAATATAAAATCTATCTATAGACTATTCACTGATCTATATCTATTCACTGATCAGTATGGGTTTATTTATGGACTTTTTTTCTATTGGTTATGTTTTATTATGTTCAATGACTATGCTAAGTCTGTAAGTTAACTGAAATTTCCTTTTCAACTTTTATCATTGTCATTTCTTGAATAAACTTACTTTTTGTATGTGACCATGGATATAAGACGTCTTGGGTCTTTCTTTAAAAATAAGTTTTTATTTTTTCCCCCCCAAAACCAATCAATATTTATCAAATAACAATGCATTTTTAAATATACATAATTATATTTTTTAATTATATTTAAAAAATGGGACAAGACATTTCATATTTGAGTTGAAATTTTTGTGGCTCATGGTACCCTAGTCTCCACTATTCTTTTTACTTTCTTCGGAGAATAATTCGCACGAATATGCAACAGTGAAAATAAAGTGTATAAAATCGATTTATATCAAGCTAAAGATTTATATGAGTAAAAATTGTTTTTATCGTTATTGATGATAAATATCTTGTGATCTCGGATTTCAAAATTACAGTGTCAATATAAAAAACACTCAAATATAACACTACATTATTAATAAAGGATTCTCTCAAAAAATGAATTTTGAAATTCTATGACTTTTCCAGGTTTTCCAGATGACAGTGGAAAATTTTCCACGACCAATATCAAATATGTAAATTTTAACATTTAGAAACAAAGATTGTAAGAAAACTATCCTATATTATTAAAAACAATATACATTTAGAAGTTTAATACTCTTAGCAGCATAATAAAATTTTGAATGCAAATTCAGACAACAAGAAATAAATGAGTATTGAAAAAAAGAATGCTACTATAACGGAAAAGGATGATAATTAAATAAAAATACTGAATAAAATGTAAATTTTAATTATTTCATTAAAATTGTTTTGATCATTTCAATTTTACAGCTTGAAGTAAAAAATATATTTAATAATATATGTATCTTAATTAAATTAATATATTTTCAATTAAATAAATAATTAATAATAACAAAATTTAATTACAGTGAATTAAGTTTCATACTAAACTGTATGAAAATTAAAACAAAAAATAAACTTGACATTGTGAGAAACGTTTAATTTTTACATTAAAAAGAATAATTACACTTTTTAACGACTGATGCATAGTACACACACACACACACACACAAACACACACACACACACACACACCATACATATATATATATAGAGGGACCGATTTTGTAACCTTTAACGAGTTATTGATATTGTAGAGTAAAAAGGCTGTGCAATGACATCAACTATCGTTAAGTTGCAGAATCAGTCCCATAGTTTCCAATAGTATTGACTAAGAATATCCCCCCCTCTTTTAAAGACCCCATACTGACTAGAAAATTAGTATATGTATTTGATTATAAATGTTAGATATATTATTTCAAAAAAACTATAACAATTGTTTGGTAGAAAAGTATTTTAAGGGAATTGAGCAAAGCTTTCAAACTTTTTTATTTTTCCTTCACTTTTTTCATGACCAATTTTAAATTTTCACAACTCTCACAAATATGATAACCCTGATAAATTAATTATTAAACAATAATAGAGGAAATTTATAAGAAAATTTTGTCTAAATAATGAAACATGACTTTAATTTTAATATATCGCAAACTTTACGAGATATTTAATATTTTATGTCAATGTGTGCTAGAATAAAGTATAAAATAATAAATAAAATGTCAATTTGAGCCAACACTGGTTATTAGTGTGTATTTTATACCATTTATTCAAAATGAATAGTAAAGCGTATACGTTTCAACAGTCAAAGTCCTCTTCAGCATAAAAAAAATTAATTAAAATATTAAATATGAATTATATAATGATAGCGCATACAAGTATAAACTATTAAAGTATAAAATACGAAAAACTGTGGTGATAATGTTCGAGTTAATCTTGGTCATCAGTTACTAAGTTTACTTAAAAAAAAAAAAAATTTTTTTTGTTTTGAATCGAATGACTCAAAGGAGTTAAAAAATATTTTTAATTGCTAACATAAAGTTATCCATACAAAATATGATAAAATAAATTTATATGATTGTCAAGATTTGACTGTTTCTATAAGGTTTTTTTTATACATGTTCCATTTACTGTGTAATACAATTATGAATAAATTAAAAAGTTAATATAAATAATGGTTAAAATTAAACTTTAGTTCACTTACGTGAAACTAAATTAAGAGTTATTAGACGACATAACTTGGTAGACGGATGTAAAATGAAAATTGAGAGAAACAGTGGACAACACAACATGACATTTACAAAGACAATAAATATAAATAATAAATAGCAAAGAATAAATGATATAGATTGGAAGCATTACGTCTCTGAAAATAAATCTATATATAAAATATAAAATATCTTGTAATCTATTGATTTTTTGATATCTCTATTTTAGTACTTTTATATGCAGAATAATTAGAGGAATTATATTATGTAAAAAAAATCATATAGTTTCATACAGTTCAAAAATCAAAAATCATACAGTTAGTTTAGTTAACAAAGATTGAGTAACTTTCATACTTTTTTGGCACCTCCATCTAGAAAAGAAGTGATATAGCCAAAACACATTCGCCCTCGAAATCGTTTCACTTTTGTCTGAACGTTTTACCGTATCTTCCACATTTTTCGAAATATTTGTTAAAATTAACCCTTATCGTATAAGATCGGGTCAATAGTAACTGAGCGATTCCTGTTCGTGCAAGTTTCTTCGAGTCTTTCGGTAATTCTAAAGTATACTATATTTCATTATTTTTCAAAATTATTTTTTAATATTTATTCTAGAAAATTGAAAGTATGTTAGTGAATTCTTAGAAATTTTTTGAATCATTCTGCATAGGTGAAAAAAAACGGACGGATTCTAGTGACCCATGTTTGGATGGATGAGGCACTAAATTGTACCTTGTATTGTAAGAGTTAAAATGAATCTCTCTCTCTCTCTCTCTCTCTCTCTCTCTCTCTCTCTCTCTCTCTC